CAGAGAGAGAGAGAGAGTGTCTATATAAATTCTCTCTCTCTCTCTGTTCTCTCTCTCTCTGTGTTCTCTCTCTGTGTTCTCTCTCTCTCTGTGTTCTCTCTCTCTGTCTCTCTGTCTGTCTGTGTGTGTGTGTGTGTGTGTGTGTGTGTGTGTGTGTGTGTGTGTGTGTGTGTGTATGTGTGTGTGTGCGTGCGTGTTCTCTCTCTTTTCTGCAAAGTGTGCTATCTGAGAACAGTCATAATATGTATTCCTTCCTCCCCTCTGTGGTTCTCGAGTTCAGCAGAACCCAACTTGAGAACCCAAAGGAGTGGTTGTGTTCTAGATTGTAATTATGAAACAACCGAGCAACAGATTCAGAGAAGTCTTCTATCGAACAATGCAAGAAAAAGGAGCAATAGCAACTGACAATATCCAGAATGCACAATCACATTGAAAGCCAGAATTTTCACCGTGTCCAGAAAGCAGCATTGCACCAATATAACACCAATGGAGATTCGTAACACTGAAAACCAAATGTCAATGAGAGCTTGCTCTCGCCACCACCAACATAAGTGTGTCCAGGCCCTTCGCCCTACTTGGCACTCGGCGCCCAGCCTACTTCCTACACAGCTACCATCTGCCTACTAATTGACAATGCAACTGTTGACGTCGGCACCCAACGAAGTACTTGAAGATGGCGCCCAATGCACACAATCGCCAATACCAGGTATGTGCCCCCACATCATCATCATCGTCCTTCTCTCTCTCTCTTGACTTACACCCATGTCTTCCCTCTGTACACCCGAAGACCACCTCTGCGCCTCACTGTAGTCCCTATGGAGGCTGGGCTATGGCGCTGCCCTCAGCAGTGCCCTGCTTCTTGCACGACCGCACGCTGTCGGAGGGCGCGGTGTCCCGGCCCTCCGCTGTGTGTCGGGCGTTACCTTCGCAATGTGCCAGGCGTCCGCTCACATACCCTACAGAGCGCCGAGCCTTTTAGACCCCTGGCAGGCTCGGTACTGGTGTGCTACAACCGGGTCCACTTCAGGGGCGGGCTGTGAAAAGACTAGGGTGGTGCGCTCTGAGGCCTTCACTAATTGGGTTACGGGATGCGTGCAGTGTGCTGCTGTCACTATCAAGGTAAGGAAGGGATTCAAGGGTAGCGGTGCGACAGCGGTGGTTCCTGCAGCACATCGATCCCCTCCTTCCAGATTAAGGGTGGTATGCGTAGGCTGGGCGGTACCGGTCGAGTAAGGGGTGAAGAGAAGAAAAAGAAAAGGAAAAAAATTCAAGAGAAAGAGAAGGGAAAACGAAGAAAAAGTCACGCTGTGAGCCCGCACTCTGAATCGAGTCGTTATTTTCATATGTATTATCTAAGTGTCCTCGGGCTGCAGCGGCGCTACGTTTCCCTCCTTTTCTTTTCCCCTCACTATTATTATTAAGTTGTCATTATTACTATTACTATAATTATTATTATTATTACTGTTATTATCAATGTTACTAGTCGTTCTCTGAGTATTGTTTCCCTCAGTCGTTTCACAGGGAGACTAACGATCTGTTTTCGAAATCAGTAGTAGCCTATGGGTCGCCTAGTTTGCCCAACCCTCCCGCTTCAGTCATTGCGAGCTTGACCGGTAAGGGGCAGGCAAATATCCCACAAAATGGGAGCACCCGCGGCCGCATTGGCAGGAGACTCATCACCCTGCAGAGGGTCATGAGTCCCCTCCTTACCATCGGACACGGGTACCCATCTGGAGTAGCCCGACGCTCATCTTTGAAAGGAGGAAGGTGTCCACCCATATCCCGTTATGGGACCACTATGACGAGCTTGCTGTCATTCTATGCCAAAAGTAAAAAGGACTAGTGACTGACAGCTAAGTGAGCCGCCTGTGCTATGATCGTTGAGGTTCAGCGTTTCGTTTTCCCTCGTTATTTTATTTCCCTCATTTTATTATTCCTTGAATTAACGGATCGCAGAAATGCTGAATTAAAAAAAAAAAAAAAAAAAAGGGGGGGGAGTTACCTGGGTCCCATGCTCAAAGCATGGGGGAACTGCGGCATGCCACGGGACTATAAAGAGTGAGGGAAGCGAGCATTTAGCCACTTGGGCATGAGCAATATCACTACGCCGAGTACTGGCGAACCGAGGGGAGAGGGCTAGGCGGCGTGGTAAGTGTGGGGGACTGCCCATGCGCGCCTGCTCATCCTCTGAGTGTTCGGCCCTGGCTACCTCGGAACTCTGCAGCCTGGAATCGCGTACGGTCCAATTGAGAAGGGTTCGACCATGGTACGTAGCAGTGGGCTTCACGGATATAGGTCGAGGTACCTCCAGTTTCTCTGGAGGTGGGAGCGAATATTAGGGGAAGGGCCAATGGTGACCACAATCTTGGACTACAACCATTGCAATCAAGAGGCTAGGCTGAAGGTAAACGTTGAAGGGGGGAAAGAAGAGGAGATGAGAGCGGACCAGGGCCTGCAGCTGGCTATCACAGAAGCCAAGGACCGGGCCGAGAGGAGGTGTAGACGAGACAGGGTCACGGATGAAATCAAGGTGACCGTCTCGTACCTGGAGGGAGAGACCTCGACGGACACGGCAGAGAGGGAACAATGGCACCTGGATCGCGACACGGAGGCCGAGAGTGAGGCGAGTGGCCTGAATGCGGAGACCCAGTCCTGACATGGGCTGGACCAATGGCGAAAGGACCACCCGCCCGCAGAACCTATAGAGAGCGGCCCTGAGGCCAACTCGCGAAGATGGAGGGACCGGGGCCGCTAGGCGGTCACGGGCAGTGACCGCAGAGAGAACAGTCAGGATTGAGAGAGAAAGAGTCAGTTCAGACACGTGAATACACTCGGTGAGCCTAGGCTACGGATGTTTTCTTTCCTGGTTGACGTCGTCGCTAACGAAGGGGCGAGAGTCAGGATCAAGAGGGAGAATGAGAGAGAGCGGGGTATGCAAGAGAGAAGTCGGACAAGAGGGAAAAGGGTTCACTTGCGTGCGTCATTTTTCGGTTGACGTCAGCTTGGCTTTCGTGCAGGAGGAAGAACAGTGAGCTTTGCCCCTTCCGCGGGAGGACGAGAGTTGGTGCGTAAGGGAGGTGGCTCGAAATGCTCGAGAGAGGTGTTTCTGAGCGAGGTGGTGTGCGGTTACAGGACTGCGAGAGAGGGGCATTCAGAGAGAGGCGACACTCTTTTTGTTGACGTCAGCCTTCGATGGGCATGCCAAACGGGGGGGGGGACTATGTGACGCGGTGCACAGCCTGCTGGTGAGGGAGATGGATGATGCCGACTTATGCTCTACCCGACGGGTTCGAGAGAGGACGGGAGCGTCGTGCAGGAGAGCGTGCGGGGGAAGTCCCTAACGACGGCTCGTGAGGACAGTGTGGCTAAGAGGTGACTGAGAAACGGCAGTGGTGTTTGGATCAGCTCTTGCGGGATGAGTAGTCGCGATCAGGGCGATGGTGTAGAAGCGGAAACGTGACTGACTGCTCGCTTGCTCTGAGGATGTTCACTAGGCGTCATGGCCAGAGTCTGCCCTCTCGGTGACCGCCCACTCCATAAGATGTTCCATATTTGTACGCTTGTGATGAAGCCACCTACCTCGGTACACAGCCCCTGACTTTTATTGATCGACCCTAGAGTGGCAGAAGTGCGCTGTTGCACGTCCTCTACTGCCACTTGTGTGACTCGCATCACCTCCTGCCACCTTGTTGAGATTAGTGAACGCGGGGCATTGGCAGGGATCAAACCCTGCGAGTGACTCAATCAAGAAGGTAGTGACGGCATGAGAGCGTGTGCGGGCCAACTATGCAACAACGACCTGTTGGCATCACCTGTAATCTTCTGGCGGGAAGAACGCTGCGAAGAGCTTCAGGTGGTCGGAGTATAAAGTCGCGGAAACTACCTTTCTGAGAGAGGGTGAATGAGAGAGGCTCGCGATACACGAGGTTATCTTGAGGCCGCATGACTACGGCTGTCGTTAACATTCCCTCTTCAAAAGGTAAGAGTTACGTTGTGTGCCTACTAATAGTCTCCATTTAACAGTCTTTCTTTGATGGCTGATCTTCAGCCGAGCCTAGAGTCACGAGCCTTCACTCCGCCACGGCTGACTGTCCCATATGAGGTCCTCAAAGTTGGCACTGGTCATCGCTGCGCAGAGCCCAACTGAACTTGCGGTTGCTACTTGGTTCAGTAATGTTGTTGCCTTTGTGCGGGTCTTATCATCTGCAGAGGGATTTGCCCTGCCTCTTCCGTCGTAATTGGAGTGACCCCCTCTTTACTCTTTAGGAGAGCTTAAAGATTGGCATGATTGCCTGCGAGTCTCATGTCAGAGTTGACTGTGGCCAGAACGTGAACGTAGGTACATAGAATGAGTGATTCGCAAACGGCGCAGATAGGAGGGACTGCAGTTCTCGGGCCTGATGATGGTTTCTTGTTCCAGTTTCAGCAGTCTTAATCTGAAGGGACCTAGCTACGGTCGTGCCAGCCCCGAATACTATTGAGCGTGTTCTGATGGTTTCCAAGTCAACCCATCATGAAAGGGGGTTTGGTTCCTCTGTATGGGGGTTGTTACATGTATGAGCAGACTCTTCAGCAAGTCGTTCTAAGTCCTTTTGTGAAAGTGGAAAACGATCGCTGCAGGTTCCTGGAATCTCGAGGTTTTATAAAGACAAGGCCTTAGACAAGCCCCGTCTAAGGGGGGCTCTCTCTCCACTGTTAAGAGCCATGTTATGTTTGTTGCCTCGTGATGGTTCTGTATGTGATTGGGTTAATGAATGGTAGTTCATCTAAAAGTAAACTGACGAGCCAGCGTGCTATAGAGTGTCGGCATACTCCACGTGGCTCAGGATGTGAATGACTAAGTAACGAGTCGTTG